GATCCTGCCATCAACACATTTCCTGTTCTAGGGTGACAAGGCACACTCATTGTACTGTATCTATGGAAGAACGGCATTGTCACTATAGGACTACAAAACACCTCACCCCTCTTCCCATTTCCATATGGGGGGAGTGATTTTTAGTCCACAGAGAGAACTGAAAATAATGTAATGTATAAGAGTGCTACAAAGACAGAAAGCTTTAAAAGTTAGATTTTTGGCAGGGGCACTAGGCACTGATTAAACAGACATACCACATCCAAATATATTTAACACACCAAAGGAATCAAACAAGAAAAGTTAATTGTTAAGGTTTACATATACTGTACATTATAGAATTCTATTATCTAGAATGCTATAGGAAAAAAACAAGAACAAAAACAAGAATGAAAAGGAAGAAAATAGATTATGCTGTCCTTGGAACTTCCTGAATGATGACACCCTTTTGCACAAGCTCTGCTACTTGTGTGGATACAAGTTTGTTGTAGTAAAAACTATTCTAAAAGTCTGCAAATGAAAAAAGCAAATTGCCTGTTGTATCTTTAAAGTTACTTTTTTTAAAATACATGCAAACCCAATACATTTAATCTCATATAAGCTTTATTATGGTAAATTACTAATTGTTTTCAGTAATTTTAAAGCAGCAATGATAATTAAAAGAATATCTAGTGCCATGAAGGTCTTTGTTCTCTTCCTGTTACAGAGTGATAACCGTTTTTGTCTGTCTTGTTTTCTTGCCTTCATACACTGCCCCACACTTTCCCAATTGACTACAAGCAGCTGTGCCAATGCACATTGCACAGATATGGTCCACTGTTGACACCAACACAGGCATCCCAACTTGAAAAATATAATTTCAGGGAGGTGCCCTTCTCATTCCAGGGAGGTGCCCTCTGCCCACCCCCCACCATCCACACTGAAATTATGGCAGATAGCAGAGGAGCTAATGCTTCCCTTGCTTTCTGCTGTTTTTGTTTGTAATCTGACAGCTGCTGGCATCAGAATTTTTTAAAAAACCTTACAACATGGGAATGAATAGCTAGGCTGCAATTGGCTATTTTAATTTGCAATAGCAGGCCGACTATTGCACCTGCCCACTGCTGCTGTCAATCAGCAGAGGAGGACTGACCTGAAGGAGAACTTCAGGTCCACCACTGCTAATTGATAGCAGCAGTGGGTGGGTGCAATAGCCAGCCTGCTATTGGCTATTGCAAAGTGAAATAGCCAATAGCAGCCTAGCTATTCATTCCTATGCTATCTGTTTTTTTTGTTTTTTTTTTACTCCGATGGCGACCGGCAGCCCCGCTGAACAGCAGGAAAAGATTTACTCTGCGGAGTAAACCTTTCAGGGATGAAATGTTTCCCTCCCGGGGATCAAGGATCCACTATCATATAGCGGAAGACTCCCAGAACCTCGGGGAAAGTTGAGATTTCTGCCATCAGGAAACTCACCTTGCAAAATGTTGTGCAGAAGCTGCTGAAGTGCATGCATGTAGACAGAATGTTTCTGAAAACAGGCTACAGGAGTTCAGCAGTGTGTGTTATCCATGCAATTTTATCCTACTCTCAGTGATTCTATAGGCCAGTTTTCTGGGACCATGCCTGGTATGCTTGAGAGTTTTTTTTATAAATAACTTCCTTGGAAAATGATTTATGAGATAGTTTGCCAGGTCATTTCTTATTGTCCCCATGTACATGGCTTGGGACCAGCATGCAGAATGTCATAGCAAATGTGCATAGCCAATTTGTACACACACTAGTGATAATTTAGACGGGTGTGAATTAACCTACCAGAATGTCTTTGAAATGTAGGAAGTAACCTGAGCACCTGGAGGAAATCTAAACAAACAGAAGGAGCACATAAACAAAATTATATGCAGATAGTGTCCTGGCTAAAGTTTGAACCAAGGACCACGATTCTGCACCACTAAGCCAGACTGCCAACCAGATAAGTAGATGAAAAATGTAACAGCAGATGAAAAAAGATGAATAAAGAATTTTGATGTACCTCTATTTAAGTGAATATCTGGGCAAAAAACATATTCAGTACACCTCTGCAATAAATGCATATTTCCCCATGTTTTGTTCCTTTAAAAAGGCTAAAAAATCTGGGCACCTTGGTTCCCTAAAGGCTGTCCAAACACTGTATGTAGAGAAATGTTTTTTGGGAGATGTGGTTCTGAGGTTGTGCATCTGTCAATCGGAACAGGAAAAATATTGCAAGTCTGATCATAATATCACAGAAACAAGGTACAACATTGCCTGAGTATGCTCTAGATGTGTAACATCAGGACCCAAATTTGTCCTCGGTCATTAAGTCGTGACCCAAGTCACACTGCAATGGAACACACAGCATTGTGGTACCACACTTTCCGTTGCAGACCATCATATTGTGTGCAGGAGGTGCCATTCAAATGAATGGCAATGCAACGCACCTCCCATACCAGAATGCACAGTAGGTGTGATTGCATGGTACAGTGCGTTAATTGCATGGAACTCTGCAATTAACACACTGTTCTAGTGTGAACAGGCCCTCAAAAACACTGACATACATACACAACCACAGACATGATTTTGTTTTTGTTTTTCATGATCCACCCAGTCTCCCTAACTTACGAGAACTGGAGTGGATCCTCAGCCTGGGGTCCAATGTGAGCTGCTGTGCTGTGACAGAGCTCCATACATAGGTGCATCGCTTGTAGAGCTGCTATGCACTCCCTGTAGAGGTGCCGGTAGCCAGAATGTGATGTCACTCCGGTCCAGGCACCTCCACAGGACACACAAGGGAGCTGTAAGCAATGCATATATGGCTGGAGCTCCCTCGTGGCCATACCCCCAGCCCACCCCACCTCAAGCCGACACACATATTTTGAATGGCTGCTCGATGCGAGAACTGAGAGTGCTGTGCTAGGGGGAGACTGAGGAGCATTTCACCTAGAAAAGTGGAAGGCATGCGGCGACCCACTGGAGACTCTCATAGTTTAGAGTTAGGACCGCACTATAAGAGGTGCCTTGGCGCGGCAGTGCGGCTTACACATCCTTTGCAGAAGACGTGTATTCAAACCTCTGTCATTGTCCGAGACTCTCATAGTTTAGAGTTAGGACCGCACTATAAGAGGTGCCTTGGCGCGGCAGTGCGGCTTACACATCCTTTGCAGAAGACGTGTATCCAAACCTCTGTCATTGTCCTGAGACTCTCATAGTTTAGAGTTAGGACCGCACTATAAGAGGTGCCTTGGCGCGGCAGTGCGGCTTACACATCCTTTGCAGAAGACGTGTATCCAAACCTCTGTCATTGTCCTTAGTGGTGAGACAAGTTGTTTTACATGCTAGTTTGTGAGTGTGCCATGATGCCTTTCTACTGTTCCACTGGAGATGGGGTCACGACCCACTATTGGGTCACGACCCATGAGTTGAGAAACAAGGCTCTAGAGGGTACATTTGGTTATTGTCTGTAGATACACTTTAATTCCACAGAGCTATAAGAAAGGAATTGATGGTTTCTTTGTTACTAATGAGTCCTCTGACTTCTCTCAATGTCCTCTTAAATAATTTTACATCAATTTACTGAATTTACTTAATGTGGAAATCAAAGACATAATAATTACAGTTTGTAAAGGCTCTAGACAAAGGCCAGGAGTAATTCCTTGGTAAATACAGCTCTGATTAGAGTCTGTGTGTTTTAGGGACATTGGTTTAAAACTTTCAGTGGGGGAAAGGACTGGTGGAAACTATTCAATGTAGCCCGGTAACCAGTAAAGATTTGACAGTGTGAGTGTCAATATATGTCAGATCTAAGTCAAGCACAGCATATTTTTTTTCAGGTGCTTTTAGAGAATAATGGTTTGTATTTGAGATATTTGAGATGCTTTTAAGAAGCATTGGAGACACAGCAGGATAAGACATGCAGCATTTCTACACAAAGCCAGGGACTGGTGTCTGATTTTCTTTACTTTGTGCCAGTCCTTATAATTACATAGACTGTTATTATTCCCAGTCTTAGCATACTTTATCTGCTGTTTCTAGTTCTAGTCCAAGCACTGCCCATCTGTAGCACTTACAATAGTGTACATAGACACTGTGTGAAAATGTGCTTATCAACAGTGGTAGAAATGATATTTCAATGGCGTTATAATTTTATGAAGTCATCACAGTAATTCTCTGCAATACGAGCAAGAAACTCATTCAGGCTCTAGCAACATCTATTTTTCAAAAGCTAGTTGAGGATGTAAAATAAAATATTAAAGGTCAAGCCGAAATCTAAAATTCTAATATTTGCATCACATCAATGATAGATACTATAGCAACGTTCTTCAGCTTAAGACGTATTCTACTATTAATCTCAAAATGATGTCTCCATTCAAAAGTGCCAACACTTTCTACTGTTCCTCCTGGCAGTGCACTCTATCTTAAACCACATTATTTCCAACAGGTTCATATCCATTTTATTATAAAAAGAGAGAATGTGCATGGTTGATGATCAGCTTGTTAAACTCTAATAATCAACTTATCCTAACTTGCACATGTTTTTAAACAGGCAGGACTTTAAAGGCCCCGAAGGTATTAGAAAAGTTTAAATGAAATACAGAACTATTGTGAACAATTATTTAATGATGAGATGAAATAATGAAAGTGCATTACATGTACATCACATATATTCTGCCCTAGAGCATTTTGTAAACCACTCTGCTAGAATTCAGGAACAAACAATTTCAAGCAGATCTGGCAGAATTTTGAAGGATTAATGCATGCTAAACAATACTTATTACTAATCCAACTGTAGCCAACTTAGAATCTATTAGCTTAGGTTATCTTTTATAGCATAAGAGATACAACATGATCCATTTAATTATGTTTTCTATGCATTTTCCAGTTCTACACACACAGGTGTCATCACTAAAAACTGAGCTCAAAGAGCAAGTCAGTTTTGGTAAATATTAAAATAATTAGCATTTATCTGAATATTGCATACAATAACATACTCAGAATAGGAGACATACCTGCATGCCACTGTTCTCACATGAAGCATTTAGTATTTCATGTAAAGGTAAGTCCTGGCCCTAGTGAAGAAAAACATAGAATAATGGTGTTATAAGTAAATTAAATCTATTCTTATACATTCTTATACATGCTGAACGCCAAGCAAATAGCTACAGTATATTTACAATTGAAATGTATATATGGGAACTATTTACCTGCCAAGGGATTTATAGTTTATCTAATTTTGAGATATGCACAGCCCAGTCAGATCACATATTCAACTGGTGATCTGGCATTTCTCTGTTACAATTAAGCAACACAGGCTGATCACCTTTGCCCCCAGCCTGTGATGTGACAATGAAGGAAAAGAAACAGACTGCTAAAGTCATCATTCTGCTCTGCCTTCTTCTCAGCATGTTTCTTTTAAGCCCATGTGCATGCAGCATATTTGATGTTGAATAGTTGCATTTTCAAGGAATTATGAACATAAGAAAAAATAGATTTACATCCCCACTGTTTTTAATTAATGTGTTAAAATAGATGGAATGACATCTACTAACCAGCAGCCCAAATGGTGCCTAATAAATCCCTTTTGCACTCTCTTATGTTTATTTTTCTGAAAAGAAAATAACAAAATAAATACAACTATTGGTGCTGCTTCATTCCTTCCACAGAGATTTTCCTGAGAGATGACATAATGCAGAAGGAAGGAGGGGGAGCTGCATTTGGATTCATATCCTCATCTCAGGTTAAAATTTGCCCCTTACTGTGCCTGTTCTGTAATTGTGCCTGAGCTCTAACAATACTATCTGCTCAGGTACAAGTACAGCACATGTGCAATAAAAGGGAAGCATTTGACCTGAAAAGAGCATATAAATTAAGTGGCAAAGCTTTCAGGTGCCAACAACATTGGGGTATCAGCAGTTTCAATAGATGATCCTCGGTGCCGGCCCAGCACAGGAAAATAGGTGATATTTAGTGGAACATTAGAATCAATACCTAAAATTTATTTCGAATCTAAGCTTTTAAAAATGGAACATAATGGAGATAAACAAATGTGGGAACCTTGCAAAGGTCAGTTTGTCTTTTTTTGCTGGAGAGACCCTTTAAGTAAGTTTGTGTAATGCAGTAACATTAGACATAACACATGCTTATAATTGATTAAAGGTACACTCCAATTAGAATAAAAACAGGACCCCTAAATGCACACAGGGATTACATATATCTGATCATTAATTTATATTTTTCATCCAAGCATACCTACAGTACATTAGATTCCTTTTTTGTTGGTAATCTGGCAACCCCTTTTCATACCTGCTTGTAGTGACCTACTTCCTACTTTGTCAATGGATCCTTTCTAAGTTTAGAGGTGTTGTTGAATCCCAGCCATCAGATTCACAACACATATCCAGTGAGGTCTCTGGTATCTGGCTCCGGTGGATTACACAGAACCTTGATTAAAGCAATTATTTCACTAAAATAAAAGTGCCAATAAAAGACTTCACTGCAAAAAAGATAGGATAAGCCCTTCTCTCCAGCAGCCCGTACTGCTGAACCCTGCTGTAATCAAGATAAATTATCACCAAAAGACTCTTCAGAAACTGACACTTCTGAGAGTGTTAGATTCTAGCTGACCCAATGGAGGTGTGGTTTCTCCCACTGACCCCTACATCACTACTGTGTTGGTTTCTGAAGAGGCCTGTTGGTGATTTATTTTTAATATAGCAGTTTTCTATGGTGTAGGCAATAGTAGAGCTAACAAATATAAACAACCAAGAGAAAACTAATAAAGTGCAGCCTTAGCGGATTACCCTGTTGGTCTACCCCCTCTCAAGGTGTTTATCGAACTAGTAAGCAATAAAAGAACAACCTAGTATCAAGACTCACTCAACAAAATTCCCTATTCTGCTATAAATAAACTGCCATTCATTCAAATGAAGGATAAGCTTCCCTGTTCAGATAGAACAAAATATAAGATGCATATAATTTCCTACAGCTAGCTTCAAGGGGACATAAAAGACCTGCTGTGCAAAAAGCAATAATACACAGTATCAAAAAGTATACAGAATTTGTTCCAAATTACTTGTGTTTCCTCCTGTGTGGGCTCTGAGCAATCACCCATAACTGCAGTCTGTAGATAGTCCAAAGTTATAGAGTTCCAATATCACCCCTCTTAATCTCTCTTGCAGTCAATAAACAATACTGTGCCATTTCCCTGCAGCACAAACAGCACACCCACATGTGTTTCCTGTCCAGTCTCACTTCACTCTGTGCTTAGTGCAGTCAGTAAAGTATACAATACCAGTATTATGCAACAAGAAGTATGCTCCAGCTGAGGTATTTACTATCTTCTTTGCAGGCACATTATTTTTTGATACTTTAATTTTAGAGACACAGTTGATTTAAGATGCATTAGGCTAAATTTACACAGCTAACTCATTAGGATAAGGGTAATTGATTTTTAAAACAGTAACAGATATTTACCCCTGAGTTGAAAATAACAACTACATGGCTGAAAGGACGATTCTTATCTATGCTGTTTGTGTTTAAGGTTTGTGAATGAAGTCTATTGATATTTCTGTATTTAACACAGCTGCAGTGTTTCTGGGTATCATTAGCAGTTCACTGATTGGGTTCACTTGCCTAGAATTGATTTTAAGCTGGCTGTTCGTGTAAAGTCAATACACCTGCCCACAGGAAGCAATTCTCCAAATTTGCTCAGGGTTCTTTGATGACTTGCAGGGCATAGCTATATTGTGTTACTGACAAACCCAAGTCTTCTGTTTGGTAACTTTAAAGCCTAATTGAAATTTTAGTTTACATCAACTAAATACATTCCAGGTGAATAAAAACAGAAAGTGTGCAAAGTATTATAGTTTGTTTTCTTTACCAATCAGCTGCATCCTGAGTAGAAAAATCCTTTGCCCTTCCAACATGCTGTAGAGCAGGGGTCCCCATAAGGTCGATCGTGATCTACCAGTCGATCGTGTAGCGATCGTAGATCGTGATGTCCTCTCCTCCCTCCAGTGGGGCTTCTCTGGATCCTCGCTGCTCTCCCCATCCGTATGCAGCGGGGATCCAAGAAGAAGTGAAGGAACCGGGGGTGGGGGAGGGCAGAGGATGGAGCCACTGTCACAGAACTAATGCCGAGCGGTGAGGAGAGAGAGAGAGACGCTCGGTCTGAATCTAACAGCCGGCGCCTCTCTCTCCCCTCACTGCTCAGCCTTAGTTCTGTGACAGCGGCTCCGCCCCCTCCCCCGCGGCTGAAGTGCTTCCTGTCGGATCCCCCACTGCCTCTGCCCGGGAGAGCAGGGGGGATCCATGGGAGAGCCCCCGTGTGCGTGGCCGAGCGGCAGAGGATCGGTACATATCAGTGATATGTCCTCTGTGCAGGACAAACACTGGAGAGTCACACACAGTAAAAAAAATAAAATTAAAATTAAAAAAATAAAATAAGAAATAATAAATATAAAATAAAAAATAGTAAAAATGTAAAAAAAAAAGCCTGGAGGCAGGGCGCTGGGTGACATCACACGCCTGTTGGGGGGCATTTTTTTTCTTGCCTCAGGCACAAAAGGAGCTGGCTACGGCTATGCTCCCACGGTGCTCGTGTGGCTGCCTGCTGAATGTGTTAGACGCTGCAGATGGAAAGGGGCAGGACACCTCTCCCCATGTGCAATGTTGGCCACACGAGCACCATGGAGGAAAAGACCCTGTGACCTCTAGGACGCACTGTAATGTAAGCCTGCTGACTCCCTGCATTCAGGGGTGGGAGGGAGTGTGGGGTTGTACTGAAGTCATTGGCACCGCAGACATGCCCCCTGCCCACAGTGCGATCGCCCAGAACACAGGCACATTAGTGCCTGCATTCCGGTCCGGTGCGATCTGCAAAAATAGTGCTCGCAGCATTTTTGCGGATCGCACTGGACTGGAACGCAGGCACTAATGTGCCTGGGTTACGGGTGCAGGCGATCGCACTGTGGGCGAGGGGCCTGCCTACAGTGACATTGACTTCAATGCACCGCCACGCCCCCTCCCGCCCCTGAATGCAGGTGTTTTTTCATTGGCAGATCTCATTGAGCTCGTCATTTGAAAAGTAGATCTCTAGACGTAAAATTGTGGGTGCCCCTGCTGTAGAGAATCATCCCTGCTCACTATGTGTAAGCAGTGATTTCTCTGCAGAGGTTCAACATGCCCCAAGCTGACTCAGAGCTATAGATCAAGCTACAGCTCATGCTTCCTGCTGATTGGCGAGCTCTAGCTCTGACTTAGCAGGACAGGGGGAGTCAGACTTCTGCAAAAAAAACATTGCTTCCACACAGAGAACAATGGCCACATGATGGAGGACATCAAAACTCACTAAGTAGAAGTACACTAGTGCATACAGGCTGCTATCAGCACTGCATAATGTTTGCATACTTGTGATCTTCCTCTATATACCAGGTGTGCTGGTTTTGGTGTGGAGCATGCTTTTTCTAATGCAAATGAAAAATAACAAGTAAAAACTAGTAGCTGATTGGCATATTATACGCTAGAGTAGCAAATTGTGAAAGTAATCTGGCACATCATCAGCAAAACAGAAGTGTGATTATTTGTTTATCTCTAATTATCCATAGTGTCATATTACCTGAGGTTTCAGTGATTTTTCAATGTGATTAGATACTGCATTACTAAAATCTTGCCAAACTCTGTGTTTAAACACATATTTAAAAAACTGTTTTTAATTCTTTTGGTATCAGTTTGTGCCTGTGTGTCTTCTTAAATTATTAAAATGTCAGTGGGTAAAATCAGAGGCCATTGTGTTCACAGTATTCTGAATTACCCATTGTTTCAAATAAATAACGTAATCTGTAAAACAATACCATAAAGACATCAAATAAACAATGCCAAAACACTAAATACTAATATTCCAAGTGATCGTTTGCAAAACAGCCTAGTCAGAAACACCCTGTCAATGTTTGTGCAATTTACATAAGTCTATGTTGACATTTTGTCATTATATTGACATATAGTGTAGCAGTGTATTGTTCGTCATATAAAATGCTGTTTTCAGGCAACAAAAACAAAGTCATTGAAAAAA